TGAATTTGAAGATAAAAATTATAATTCTCAAACAGTTTATGTTTATTAGCACATTCAAACAGAAATAAAATACTATCTAATCTAAAAATAATGTAAAATAAATTTGACATCGATTCAATATATATATTTTAAAAAATGGTAGAAGATTTAATATATCTATCACTAAATATGAATAAATAGTTAAAAAGAAATCATGGCTAAGAAAGTAAACCGACTCATTTGGAATTTACATTTGATTTTTGCCTTATGGTTCACGGACGTTCTTGTATTGTAGTACACAGTTATCTATATAGCCAGATTTTTTAATATATTGTGTTTGTCACAAAAGAAAATGGGTCTAATTTAATAGTCTAAATAGATGGGCCACGAGTAATTAAAAAAAACCTACAACATATACGACAAAAAAGTTCATCTTCTTCGTTAACCCGCCGACAACGAGATAGCGCTTCCGATCTGAAAAACTCGATTCCAATTATTAATCGAACGTTTCCACAGCGATTTTAATCTTCACTTTCCGAGAATCGCGATTCCGGTGCGATTCTGGACGCTTCCGATTCTGAAGCGGGAATCGGAGCTTCAATGGCGATTCCGTGCAACGTAGCTTGTCACTGATATTATTGAAAAAGAACAATAAAACAGAAATTTTCATTTCGGGTAAAATAAAATGTTCTCTTTTTTCCTATTTTATGATATTTCAGTTTCTATTTGTCTGTAACTTGGAATATTCGTTTTATGCTTGTACGTATGTTTTCCTTGTACTTTTTTAAGTTTTTGGAGGATCTTTTTTATGGAAAGAAAATAATTCCCACAGTTAACACCATCATCAACTTCAGCCTAACCATCTTTCAAAAATCATTGAGTACATCAAGAATGGTCCGAAAACCCAATATTCTCTATTTTCACTAAAAATCAAGTCATTTTTTCAAAAAAATCTTAATCTGAGACTCTTAAATCTGCATCCATGATTGTCTTAAGTGGTATTAATGAAGATTTTTAACGAAATGTACGAAACCGTCTGAAGCGATGCAACCAAACCTTGAGTTTCATGAGAGCGAATGCTTGAGATAATATTTTCAGGATATTCGTTTTGCATTCATCTTTATTGTTATCCAATAACGTACGTAGCCTAAAATATATTTAGGCTTGTAAACAAGTAGTTCTAAAACATTGTTAAGGGGCCAATATTTAGACCTATAAATTAGATCAGATCAAATATGAAATTGGTGTTCTTTAACTAAAAATGATTTTCTTTGTAAATTCTACTAGGACCTCTATTGATCCTTCACGTTACATACACCAAAACAAGAAAAAAAATTTTAAAGGTCCAACATGTCATGATCTAATCTTTTTGCCTAATATGGTTACTACCATGTTTGGTTTCTAGTCAAGACTCCTTTTCCTTTTTTTTTGTTTTTCCGACAGATGTTCAACTATTGTTTGTCAACACTAAATATTTGCTCAAATTTTTCTACGCGTACGAATGCACACTCTCATAATTTCCTAGATCAATTTCCCTACGCTAAAATAGAGTTTAGAAAAAAAAGTAAAGATGAGTTAGAGATGCTCTAAAAAAATAGTAATTGCATATTTAGTTAGCAAAAGAAAAAAAAAATCTGATCAGGGGTTAAATTTGAATTTAGTAAAAGCTTTGTAAAAATCAAAAAGTCTGAATTTATCTACAAGTTAAACAAATTATATCCTGTGTTGGATACAAATTAATTATTGAATTTAGCCCCACAACAATTATTTAAAAAATAAAGAAAACAAATAAATAGAGGGCCTACGGCTTTTCCTAAATTACAATAAAATAATTATATCATCTTATCCTATCTCGAGAAAGTTGGAAAGGAAAGGATAAAAGGTGGGTGGTTTTGAATTTATATCACACAAACACCACCTTATCAAAGTTTC